GTTTGTAAACCACAGGACTTGAGTCAATTGAAATTTCACAATAAAAATGTGTTAGAAAATCTCTCAAGTTATTGTCATTTCAATGGATGTCTTTGAGCAAAGATTTCTATTCTCCGGGACACTTACTTCAGACCCTGCTCAGATTTCTTAATTATTTTCTATTTTCCTTTGGACCAAACTTCTAAATCTCTGTTGAGCCAGAGAGTTGATGTCATCAGTGACATCCTGTGAGATTATGCAAGTTTACAACTTGTCACCATCAAAGAAATGCTTTATTCACGGGTTTGGTTGCTTTAATTTAGGGGTTAATTTCCCACTCTGTGGGCACAGTGCCACCTGCAGTCCACAACACCCCGTTAGCACCTCCTCTTCTTCCCTGCCGGTTCCCTTGCTTCTCTGTTCCCTCAAGGTACAGCACATTTTTTTCACTAAGCCCGACATCTGCTTTTGCTGCATTTGATGATGTAGCTTCTCTGTATTTCTGTTCCACAGATGAGTGAGACAAGCCTTGTCTGTCTCTCACTCTCTGGCTCATTTCTCTTCAGAAAATCACCTCAGTATCCAGCCATTTTGTGTAAAAAAGACAAGATTCCTCACTTATTAGCTGTGTGGTACCCTCTGAGTATGGACTCACAATTATTTTTTTAACTTCCCTGTGCGCGGCACTTGGATTGTGCCAACCCAGCCATGGCAGATGGTATTGCCTGACCACAGGTGCACGTGGTCTGACACCCCTGACACCCACCCAGAGTGTTGTGAGGACACACTCTATGGAGAAGGGCACCAAGGCACATGGACAAGTGGCCCCATACTCTAGAGAGCATTTGAGCCTCAGAGACACCATCCCCCAAACAAGCACATGCACGAGGAGAAGCCATGTGCACACCACACAGAAATGAGTAATTACACTTTTTACTAAGTTACAACCACAATATTTTCAGCGAGGACACCGGTTCCACCAGGTCCCACAGAGCAGCAGCCCGGCCGCCCACTACTCTCATCCCCCACCATCTTCTCCCTGTGGGGAACCTAAACTGAACCCCACCTGGAGGCACTGGCTCAGCCCTGTCCCTGCCGGCCTGTACCCCTCTGAGCAGCAGCAGAGGAGATGTCCTCTCCCAGGGCGCCTCAGGCTGTGAAGCCTCCAGGGAGACTCCATGGCCCTTGAGAAGGAGCCCAGACATTGCGGCGGGGCACAGCCAGGCTGCCCTCAGCCAGGGGCTTGCGGAAAACCCATTCGGTGGGCAGGTGGCTCCTGGACCTGGATGGATTTGGCCTGTCCAGAAGGACCAAATGGGACGGAAGTTGAGGGCGAAGCTCTGTCCCCCCAATTTGGGGAAGGTCATGTGCGGGACCTGGGCCCCTGGGCGCAGCATGCTGACTCTGGAAAGTACTTCTGCCCACTTCATGCTGAACAAGGACGAGCAGACTGTCCAGGGAGAAATCCTTGAGGGTGGGTTGTGGGTACATGAGTTGAAAGTCAGACTATACCTCCTTCTCCCCGCCATTATCCTCTGTGCCTAGACCTGCTGTCTTGTGTGTGTGTCTGTGATGTGGCTACGGGGCCAGAACAAGGGCAGGCGCCTGTGTGATGGGGTCCATGTGCCAAGGGATGTGGGGAAGTGAGAGCAGCATCGTCTGAGACCGAGAGGGTGGGAGACACCAGAGAAATGCTGCGGGAGAGCTGGTCAGCTCCTGGGTCAGCGTTAAAGGCCTGAAAACTCTACCAAGGCCACAAAAGCATCTTCATGTGTGAGAACCGACCACGACCCACATGGCCTGCAATGGCTGTAAAACGGGGCCCAAACCAGGCTCCCAGATCCCGTGTTGGAAGATAAATTAGCCTTTCAGTGAGGAATGGTAATGTGGGCATTTCTCACTCCACTGGAGAAGCCGTTTGAAAGTCCGTGCTCAATGACAGAAAATAGTCACAGTAACTCTTCTGTCACCGCAACATCACTGAGAGATTTAAACGGCCTGGAAATGGTGGAGGACGTTGCATAGAAAGAGTCTCAGCCCAGCCTCTCACTCTCGGCCTTACACACCTCCATGGAATGGTCATGTGGAAGTGGGTGAAGGCGGCTCCTGGGTGTGGAAGGATGCAGAGACCATCACACGCACGCACCACAGGAACCTGCTCTGTTCAGCACTGCAGCATGATCTGTTCGCTGAGGTACTGACCATTCCCAAGCCCCTCACAATCCAGGCCACACACAAAAGACCTCTTCCCATGGGGCTGAGGACACAGCAGGCGTGATGGCCACCCAGGAACTGCACGCCACGCACAACCACCCACGACCACGGCCACCACCACGGTTCCTCCCCGCGTGAAGACCACGGAGAACCTCCCGCGAGCAGCAGCCATCACACCCCACCAGACTGGCAGGCATGAGGCGGAGCAGCCATGCGTACGTGACCAAACACACATGCAGCAACACGTGAGGACACGAACCATCCCCTCTCAGAGGGTCCAGTTTCTTCCCTCTGTCGTTCATTCTGCTGAATTTCCCCCCAACCTCCCTTTCCCTCTCCCCCGCCTCTCCCTTCCTGCCTTTTTCCTTCCAACCTGTATTTCCCTTCCTCACCCCCCCACCCACCTCCCAGGTCCGCCATGAAGGGCACACGTGGGTGACGGTGACTTTTCAGTGTCCCTTGGATGTGCTCATCATGGCTTTGACGCTGGGGGCCACACCCAGGTCCCCCGAGACCGGTCAGTGATGATGAAAGAGACCTTTGATGAAGATTAATACAAGCCTTTCCTACAGGGTCAAACGACACACAAAATAGCCTCTGACACACTCAGGGCACTAATGATCACTGGCATATGTGATAGGACGACACCAATTAATACAGTGAACTGAAAGAGGGCACTTGTCCCTCTGGAGGAAGGTCCCTGAGGGCTGGAATCTGGACAGTGTCCAACACGCGGACACCAGCTCCAGAGCTCAAATAGCCCAGCCCTGAAGCCCTGCTCTGTCCATGAGATGGCAGCAGGATGGGGTGGAACATCCTGTGAGTGTTCAAAGACATCTCCAGGAGCCCTGACCATGGAATGAGAGGCCTGGACACCCTCTGTCCGTGCCATGGCCACCACCTCAGGAGAGAGACAGGACACGGCAGTTTGAACTTTCTCCCAGACTTCAGGTATCTGCCCCCAGCCATTGGCAGGGGAGAATCCACTCACACTTGAAAGTTTTCAGATTCAAGCTTCATTTTAGACTTGAGAAAGTGCTGTAGTTAAACTATTCATTTTCTAAATCAAGACAACTATGGCTGAAGGTGCCCAAGTCACTCATGTCCACTGCCGTGTCAGCCTGGGGTGAGACTCGATGAGGGAAAACATAGTTATCTGAGGGTCTTCCACAAATTATGTCATTTTAATACACTCATCATCTGGGAAGATTTTTATGAGTAGTGTGACAATAATGTTACATACTGATTTTAGTGTTCATCTCAGTGAGTATGTATTAAGTATTATATGAAATCACAAAAATTAATGATTATTTTGTAACTAAGATGAATTTCAAAATCCTTATTGCTAAATTTCAATATATTTGTTTTTGTTCCCAGTACTATAAGAGATAATAAAGTAGGAATACAACAACTTTGATAACAATATTTTTGACAATTTCATCACTCTGACACTAAAGAGAGGCTGGCATGGACATCTGACTATTTATGGAAATGAACTTGGGATTTTGCCCTGTTCCACAGACCTGGGGCTGTTAGAGATTTGTAAAATATAGTCACAGTATTTAAATATGGAAGAATATGTATCAAAACTTACATAATTGTTACAATATGTGCTTTTATTCTCTCAAAAGATGTCTACATATTAGACCACTTGGTATCCTTATCTTTCTGTGTTTATTAAACTGTTTGGAATTATTTCTACTAATGTATTTCTATAAATACATTTCCTACATTCCCTATTAAAATCTGCTGTCACCGGGAAGTTCATCCTCAGGGAGGGAGGTGAGGATGAGAGTGGGGAGGGGGAAGGAGAGTGGGCAGGGCTGCCCTGTGTCCAGACATGCCCACTCACTCATGGGCCTGGGATGATGAAGAAAGCTACACATGGCGGAGCCGAGTCCCTGGGACCAGCGGGGACAGTCACACACAGAGACCATCTGGCTCAGCCCCAGAGCGGCCTCCTCCCTGCACAGATGTGCATGAGTCTGAGGGGGACAGAGGGGCTGGAGAGGGACCCGGGGGTGGACGAGCCCATCCTGCAGGAGTGATGTGTGGATGTGACCCAGGAGGAGACTCTGCAGGAAACATGGTCTCTGAGTCCTCAGATGTGGGGGAGTCAGATGCAGAGAGATGAGGAGACGAGTAGATGGACCAGGAGTCAGCTGTGAGGTCACAGTGGCAGGAATCTGACAGAAGAGGCGTCAGTACATGCTGCACAGGGAAGCTGAGCCCAGATCATTCAACTCCAAGTTGAGAGTCCAGTCCTTGGAGCCAGGAAAACAGGGACACACACACCTCATCTCCATGCACACCTGTCACTGTGTGGCCTCCCCAGAAGGAGGAGGGCATGCTGGAGCAGCAGGGACAGGCTCTCTAGGGTAGGGAGGTCTTGTGCATGGTCATGTGTCCTCTAGGACTGTGCCCTAGACAAACTCTGGGAGGTGTCAGGCTGAGATGCTGGGTCCTGGGCAGGAGGTTGAGCAGTGGAAGTGGGGAGAGGTGGGTGGGAGCTTTGTAAGTTAGGTTTATTGAAAGAGGAGGTTCTAATTGTTCATGTTTTGTTTCATTCTACACCAATTGTTGGGGACATGTTTGGACAGTGTAAAAATGACATATTCACTTTGCATGGAAGGAAATGAGTGAGATGAAACAGTATATACAGATGATTGTGTTAGACTCCATAGTATCTCAAAGGAATAATTATATAGAAAAGAGATTGAATTATTATCTTATATTGATAATGTATTATATTTTCAACATTGGAAGAACTGAAGCTTTATTTTTCCTCTTCTTTATATATACAGATGATGTCTCCAGTGGTGACCAATCTCACTGTCGTGACACAATTCATCCTCCTGGGGTTCCCCACTCATGGGGCCATGGGCTTCTTGCACCCACTGCTCTTCTCCCTGGTCTACCTGTGCGCCCTGCTGGGGAACGGGCTGATTGTTGTCATCACGACCATGGACCAGCATCTCCACACACCCATGTACTTCTTCCTGAGGAGTCTGTCCTTTACGGATCTCTGCCTCATCACAACCACAGTCCCCAAGTCCATTGCCAGCTCTCTGATGCACAGCAGCTCTATCTCATTTCTGGGCTGTGTTGTCCAGGTCTTCATGATGGTTATTTCAGCAGGTACAGAGATGACCCTGCTCACGGTGATGAGCATTGACCGCTATGCTGCCATCTGCCACCCCCTGCACTATGACACCATCATGAGTAGGTACAGGTGTGTGCAGCTGACAGTTGTGTCCTGGCTGGGTGGGGGTCTCTATGCTGTGATGTTCACTGTTGGCACCTTCTCCTTGTCCTACTGTGGGTCCAACGTGGTCCACCAGTACTTCTGTGATGTCCCTCAGTTACTGGCTATTTCATGCTCAGGAAATGTAATGAACAAACTTGCACCCATTCTCATTAGTGCGGTGTTGAGTATCTGCTGTTTCATTTTCATTGTTATTTCCTATGTCCACATCTTCTCTGCTGTCAGGAAGATCCCATCCACAGAAGGTAAGGCCAAAGTCTACTCCACGTGCCTTCCCCACCTGCTGGTTGTCGTGCTGTTTCTCTCCACTGGATGCTTTGCTTATCTGAAGCCGACCTCAGGGACCCCGTCCATGTCTGACCTGGTCATTTCTATGTTCTACACTGTGGTGCCCCCCACCTTTAATCCCGTCATATACAGTCTGAGGAACCAAGCCTTGAAAATGGCTCTGGCGAGACTGAAAAATGGCCAGTACACCAAGAAGTGAGATATCACAATCTACAAGTATAACTCCTCATTTATTCTGTTTTCCTCTCTAACTCTTACATGTCATCATTTATAAAGTATAGACTCTTGCATTAGAAATTTTCCTTTTCCAGAAATTGATATTCTCATATTCTTCCATAAACTGTAGTTTCCTAAAATACTGCAAACATTTGCCCAACCTTCAACTGTGTGACGTTCATAAACTGAATTCTCACTCATTGTTTAACTATGTATTTGGTGTAGAAGGAATGTTTTAGAACTTAAACATTTAAACAATGAAGCAGTGGTGAATGGGATCGCTCCTTGGGAGCATATGGGTCACCAGACTTCAGTTCTGGGCTCTCAGTTCCTCAGCCTGTGTGTTTCTCCACTGAGGGGCCCCCGTTTTCCTGGAGGGAAGGGGTGCACAGTAGAGAGGATCCCTCACCTCTCATGAATGTAATGGGTCACCTCCCTCTAAGAAAAAATTCATATTTCTGTTCAAAGGAAAAGGAAAATCTACTCCTGAATCTGCCAGAGATGGAAGGATTGAAGCATTCTTGGGGAAAAAGAATCTGTGATTGAAACTGACAGTTGATGTGTGTCAGTTAATCCCAGATGTCTGATTTGTTTCTAACAGGACTACTCTCTTTGATGCACTATAATGAAAGCAAAATATATATGAATTCTTATTGAAACTACATCTGTACAGTGAAAGCGTTTAGCTCTGAGACTTTGGTTTTTTATGTGTTTATGTTTAGGCTCCCTTAGCTTTCAAAATTGTGTTTTGATGTCTCACACCTGGACTTCTTGTCAACTTTCCTGTAGGTAATATTTAAGTCATTTTCTTCTACTTTGGAACTATGCTATTTTTTACATTATGTAAAGTATATTCCATAAAAATAAAGAAGGGCAATATTTGAAATTTTTAATGTCCAGCAGTGTCTCTGCTATAAATCCCGGGGCCTAGGGCTGTCTCTCCACCCTGAGAACATGAGCTGGGGATGATGTTCTTCCTCTCCAGTCACTATATATACACACATACATATACACACACTTATATATACCATATATATATATATATATATGGTATATACTACACTGTATATATGTGTATATATACTGTATATAGTATATGCTATAGTATATGCTATAGTATATACTATATACTATAGTATATACTATAGTATGCTATAGTATATACTATATACTATATACTATGCTATAGTATATACTATACACTATAGTATATATAGTGTATATAGTATAGTATATACTATGTATAAATATATGTTTCTTTTAACTGCATTTCAAAGTGTTAGCATTTCAATATGAACAACTGACCTTATTTTGTTGTCCTACAAAAGGAATTTTTTTTCTCTCTTGAGGTAACATGTTTACAATAAAGTATCATTTCAAAATGCATTTTGGGGGCCTCCCTTGTGGCTCAAGTGGTTAAGCACCACACTATGAAGCAATCCACAGCCTGTGCAGCACTACTTCGATCCCCGGCAGGCCAGGAAGCTACCCACATGGCGCAGTAGACCTCTGCTATCTCACCTGCTGCTCCCCGCAGCAGTGTATTTCAGTCAGTCTGCCTGTTCTGTTCTGTTCCCCACTCTCTGTGGTGAATCCTCTCACCCTCCACACCTCTGGCCTGTAACCCAACTCTTGTATGCATAAATAAATAAATCTTTAAACAATGATTTTTTTTATTTCAAAAGAATAGTAGTTAAAGTATTCATCTTATAAATGAAAACAAAAATTAAAAACTACACAGTTCAGTTTCACAATGCCATATATTCTGGGATGAGTTTGAAAGAGGGAAAATATTTTTTTTAATTATCTTCAATTAAAGAAGTTCTGCAGCTTATGGTTTTTAATATATCTGTGATCATATAATATTTTAATTATGGTGTATCTGACAATTATTGTTCCTAACCATGATATTTCAGCATTTAGAACATTGAGCTGAAAGTGCATTAAATGTTAAATAAATCACACATAATAGAGCTATTTAGGAAGCAGTGAGGAAGAATCTTAAGAGGAAATTAAAATTCACACTAGTAGTTTATAAAAGGGAAGATACACATGTCCATCCTTAAAATATAACACAATCACGAGTCAGATAGAAATTCATAAATTTTTAAGGCAATATTGATATTTTTTCCTTTACACTGAAATGATACATAAGTGTAATCTGCCTATTATGGATTTGTAACATTTTATTTACACACAGCAACACAGCTACACAGAATATAATTATATCAATAATAATATTAATTTAAGTGACTGAAAAGGTTTTGACATAGGGCACAAAACAGCTGGTTCTGCATTTATTTTCTTGTTTCCATTAAAATAGCAAAAATTGTTTCTCTAGTCTCGTACAAGAGTGGCACATATTAAAAAACTAGCAACAACAAATGTTGGCGAGGTTGTGAAGAAAAAGGAACTCTCCTGCACTGCTGGTGGGAGTGCAAACTGGTCTAACCACTATGGAGACCTGTGTGGAGATTTCTTTGTTATGGAGCAACCCGGATATAAAAAGAGTTGCCTGGCTGTGGGTCCTCACCCTCACACTTAAAAGGGACTTATTAATACTCCACTATAGGCACACACAAGGTTAATAAAAGGTTTATTTACAAGGGAAAGGGAATTAAGGAAATGTACGACTCAGGGAGAAATAGGGAAATAAAGTCTGTAATGCGTCCTATCCCATCCGCTGACCTGGAAACCCAAAGGCACTCTCAGAGGCTGCAAGCTGGCGGAGAGCCAAAATGGGGTAACCCCTCCAAAGCCCATGTGTCTGGCTTTATACCAACTTGGCTGCTTAACCCCACCCTCAGGTTCCAGCAACCTTCCCTTTGGTGGTGATGGGATTTGGAGTTTCCAGTGTCTTTTGGCTTTGGTCTGGAGTGGGGGTGGAGTCCACAAAGCCTGTATGGAATGAGCTTTAGGACATCCTTTTCCCCCTAACAATTCCCCCCTTTCACTTTTTGCCACCATTTTCATGGTGATGAATATCGAATATATGGAGGTTGGGATGCAGTCTCAGATGAAAATTTTTACCGGGTTCCAGTGTGAAAGAAAACCAGTCTCTCCAGGTATTGTCCATTGTGGAAAGCAAAAGTCCTACATTCCTGGAAAAACAGTTCATCAGTCCAAGCCAAAAAAAAGAAGAAAAAAAAAAAAAAACATCTGGAGGCAAAACAAGACAGCAAATATGTCAAAATCACAGGAAAAAAAAAAATCTTAAAATGGTTCAACTGATGTAAAACACAAATTTTCTCAACCTTGATCCCAAAATTTTTTTTTTTTATAGAGGCATGTTTTATTTATTTGTATATTTATTTGTTTGTTTGTTTTGTTTATACATGCACTGGGTACAGTCAGAAGCATGGGAGGGTGAGAGAATTCACCAAAGCCAGAGCAGGGAGCAGAGCAGGCAGAAGGACCGAAGTACACTGCTGAGGGGAGAAGCAGGCAGCGGAGAGGTCTGTGCTCCATGTGGGACCCTCCTCTGGTGGCCGGGGAGCAGCTGGGGATCGAACTGGCGCCGCAGAGGCCGTGGGCAGCTTCGCAACCCAGCACTCAACCGCTGCGCCACTGGGGAGGCCCTGATCCCAAACTTTTAACAGCTAGCAGAAGTTTGCAAACTAAACCTACTTTTAAACCATTTTTCCTATTTTTGCATAAAATCACAGGGCAGAATAACTAAACGGCAATTTTAGCTGGCTTTGTTGTTATACTCCATATAGGATCAGAGCGAACCGTTGACATCCAGCCGATGAAGGCTTCAGGAACAAAGTTGGTCTCATCAGACTCCACCTGGGCTTCCCTCTTCTTGAGGGTACCAGGGCTTTTTCATTGGCTGGGTTGTCCAATCCTGCCAATGGAGGCAAATTTCCTCACCTTCTTTGGAGGGCTCTGGAACCCTACAAAAAAAGCAAACAGGTTCTCCTCTTCTTGGTTCACTCTTTTTCAACTTTCTGGAAGAATTCCATACAAAGCCACACAATCAAACTCATGTCCATTTTTTTTGTTTAAGCAGACAAAATCCCTATAGAAGTTATGCAAAAACAGACTCTGAGATAAGTAGCAAAAAAATTACTACCACTATTTTTATGTTGTGTTGGTATCAAGGGAAGAGAAAATGCAAAAACAGGTTAGCTTTTCTGCGAAAAAAAAAATTGCAATCTTGCTGCAGATCCTGGTGACCTGCTCTTTGTTGGTGATGGTATTTGGAGATTCCAGTGTTTTTGGCTTTGGTCTGGAGTGGGGGGTGGAGTCCACAAAGCCTGTATGGAATTAGCTTTAGGACATCCTTTTCCCCCTAACATCTTGACCTACTAAACATAGAGCTTCCATATGATCCAGCAATTCCACTCCTAGGAATTTACCCAAATGACACAGAAACATCCATTCCAAAGAGCACCTGCACCACTATTTTTATAGCAACACTGTTTACAATAGCTAAGCTCTGGAAACAACCCAAATGCCCAAAAATAGATGACTGGATCAAGATGTGATACCTATACACAATGGAATATTACACAACAATCAAAAAAGCAGTGGTGGTCGCATACTGTTGTTTTAATTGAAAGAACTGGGAAGTCTATGCTAAGGTTCTGATGTGGTGGGTTGAAACTTCGTAGCCTTCAGTGCCTTTCGCTGACTACATTGCACATGCAAGAGTGCATAGCTCAGTAGAGCACCATTCGGGTGATGAAAGGTGTTGAGGCTCAAGGGATGGAAGGAATGATGAGTGGTGAATGGATGGTGTGGTTATCCTATGGACACGCCCACTTAGGTCCAACATGGGGAGACTGGACAGTGCATTTTATTTCTCTTTGTTTATACAGATGATTACTCCGTGGTGCCGAATCTCATGGCCTTGAGAGAATTCATCTCCTGGGTTTCCCGCCCATGGGACCATGGGCTTCTTGCACCCAGTGCTCTTCTCCCTGGGCTATCTGTGTGCCCTGCTGGGGAACGGGCTCATCGTCCTCATCATGACCCTCG